ACCCCAAAATTTTCCCTCTCTTTTCTCAAGACATTCCTCACAAAAATCTCCAATGTCTCAAGTTTGCACAAGTGTTGGCCAAGTCAAACCATCTTCAAAACACTGATGCCTCAAATTAGGGTTTTAATCTTCATAAGGAAAATTGGACTTCTAATGACTCAAATTACTTTCATGGATCATCATAGACATCCAATAATATTCATGCCAAGTTTCAAGTCTTGAATCACAAATTTGCCCAGTCAATTGACCGGATGACTAAAAAATCAACTGTATTGGGTAAAAAGTCAACTGTGGTCAACCTACAGTCAAACTTCAAGATTTTTGACCAATATCAACATTTTAAAGTCATATGCATCATTTGATCAATTATTGATCACAATCCCTAAAGAAAAGCACTCAGTTTACCAAAACGGCAAAATGGTCAAAATTAGGGTTTTTGATTGTAATTGACTAATCACTGGATTTTGACCTAATACATGGTCCAATGGCTTAAAGCATAATATCAAGGATTCAAATACAACATTTTGACCTAATCTCATGTCTCAAATCATCTTGCAAAATCAATGGGTTGATAGTTGAATTTTGGGTTAACTTATGAAAAGTCAACTGATACACCAAAAGTCAAACTTTGATTTTTTGATCAAATTTGAGTTTCAAAGATCACAATTCATCAAGACATTCAAAAATACGAATCTTGATCATTAAGAAATAAAGAAAGTAAAAAGACAATTTGAAAAGTCAAACTTTTCAAGACTTAGAAATTTTTCTAAGTGTTCTGTACATGGTAATTTCATTACTTCATGCCAAATTTTCACCAAGATGAAAGATGATTCAAAGGAAACTTTCAACATGAGAGTTGTAGATCTTGATGAGATCTACAAATTTGTATTAAAGGGCTCATATCCAAAAAATGCTTAGATTTTGAGTTATAGGTCCATGAAGTCATGCACTTTTTCTTAAACACTTAGTGAAATTTTGACCTAGTTTAGGCAGATTTTTGTCCCAACTTCTTGGCCATTTTTCACATAGTTCTAATTGGATTTTGCAAAAGTAGAAAATATGAAAGTTATAGAGGATGTTTCAAGATTTCCAAAATATCCCGGAACTTGAAGAGATCATTTTTGAACTAATAGAACCGAAGGAAAGAAGTTGGGCATCTGTTGTACGTCAAAATTTGCCCTCTCTTTTCTCAAGACATTTCTCACAAAGATCTTCAATAGCTCAAGCTTGCACAAGTGTTGACTAGGTCAAATCACCTCTTAAGCATTGAGAACCCAAATTAGGGTTTTGATTTTAATAAGGATAATTGGACTTCTAATGCCTCAAATGAATTTTAAGGTTCATTATAGACCTCCAAGAATACTCATGTCAAGTTTCAAGTCTTGGATCACAATTTTGCTCAGTCAATTGACTAGATGACTGAAAATCAGTGGTATTGGGTAAAAAGTCAAATGTGGTCAACCAATAGTCAAACTATAATATTTTATGGCCAATATCAACATTTTGAAGTCATATTCATCAATTGATCAAGTTTGGATCATAATTCCTCAAGAAAAGTGTTCAAATCATCAAACGAGCAAAATGGTCAAAATTAGGATTTTGATTGGGAATGACTGATTTTTGACTTTTGCCCTAATACATGATCTAATGAATTGAAGCATAATCGTAAGGACTAAAACACATCATTATGACCTAATTGCATGACTCAATTCATTTTTCAAGATCAAATACTTGATACTTGAAATTTGGTCAACTGATGAAAAAGTCAACTAATACACCAAAAGTCAAACTTTTACTTTTTGGTCACCTTTAAGTTTCAAAGATCAATATTCATCAAGATATGAAAAAATATCAAACATGATCATCAATAATCAAAAAGTCAAGCAAAGTCCACGAAAAGTCAAAGTTTTCAATACATAGAAATTTTCTAAGTGTTTTATATACTTGATAATTTCACTACTTCATGACATTTTTTCACCAAGATGCAAGATGATTCAAGGAAAACTTTCAACATGAAAGTTGTAGGTCTTGATGAATTCTACAAACTTGTATTATATGGTTGATGTCCAAAAAATGATTAGATTTGACGATATAAGCCCATCAAGTCATGACATTTTTTATAAAACACTTAGTGAAAATTTTGGCAAGTTAGGCCGATTTTTTAACCAAACTTCTTGACCAATTTTCACCTAGTTCCAAGTCTATTTAGCCAAAATGATCAACATGAAGGTTATAGAGAATATTTCAAGATTTCCAAAATGTCCAAGAACTTGAAGAGATCATTTTTTATCTAGGAGATTCAAAGAGAAGAAGATAACATCACAAACATGGATTATAGGTCATTTTTCATGAAGAACACATGATCCAATCTCATGCTATGCTGCATAATCTTTATATACAGGCCTCTTAACTTACAAATCTCACCATAATTAAATGTTTACACAAACTTTTGAGCTATGGTCCACTTGATTCAAGCATTGTCCAATACATCTTGCCATTTAAGGGAGAAAGGTACCATTTCCATTCTTAAAAAGCAAGCTTTTTGCAAAAGTCCACTCCTTGAGCCTCTAACTTATTTCTTATTCACACACTCAATCTAAAAAGTCAGAAGCAACATGTTTAAAGTGTTTAACCACTCTATGATCAAAGGTACAAGGCATTGAAACTTGATTTTTCAAGAAAATCACATGTTGAGCTTAACATGTGATTTTGAATTCTGATCAACTTGAGCTTATCCAACCTTTCCCTATAAATAGAGACACTATTTTTTAATCAAAGCCACGAAAAAACAAGCCCTCAAACCCCCTTAATCTCTCCCAAGTCAGAATTGGCCAAAAATCACCATTTTAAAGCTTTTGAAACCATAACTTCGAAACTCATCACTCTTGAAACTATTGTCCAAACAAATCATCCAAACACTTCATATATATCATATAGAAGCTATCTGTACCCCTGTTTCGTCACTGTAACATCATTTTCATTATCCATCATTTTCAAAATCCACCATTTTCAAAATCCACCATTGCAACTTGACTTGAGTAGACCAATCCAGACACTTTCAAGGTAAAGTAAGAGTTTCAACATACTCACTAAGGTCCCAGGAAGCTAAAGCAATCATCATATTGCTTTTGGAAGTCGTGTAGAGGACATTAAATTTTTGCATCAAGAGGTATGTTTTTCCAACTTTGAAATCTTGATACAAGCATCATTTGCACTTACTTTTAAAATATAAAATGTAGATATCATGTCTATGAAGCTAACCATATCTTTAAATTACATTTTAATTGACCGTGGGATGAGAATTTTAAACTTAATTTTTCAGACATTTAGTTTTTTTTTGGGTACTGTTGTACCCCAAAATTTTCCCTCTCATTTTACTCAAGACATGCTCATTGAGGACCTCAATTACTCAAGGTTGACCAAGAATTGGTCAGACAAATTCTCCTCCTAAGCAATGGACTTCCAACTAGGGTTTCACTTCTCACAAAGAATTTTGGGTTGAAAAGGCTTCAAGTTATTTCCATGGTCCCTAATATGTCCTCACGAATGTCCATGACAAGTTTCATACCTTGCACTACAAGCTTGCTCATTCAATTGCTCAAATGCTTGGAAATCAACTATACTAGGTCAAAAGTCAACTGTGACCAATATACAGTCAAACTTCAAGATTTTTGGTCAACACTAACATTTTGAAGGGAGTATAAAGGAATAACCCTAAAATAAATTCAGAGATTTTAGGTTTGGACTCGATTCTAGACAAGGGGAAGGTGTTAGGCTTCCCTCCTCTAGCTTGTTCACAAGGATACTAGGTTTAGAAGCACATTTTTTTAGGAAATAAGGTTTTATATAATTATTGGGGAAAAAGGGGTTTAAATTTTGGTTAGCGGGACTCGCCACAATCTTTGATCGTATGCCTACGTATCTTCTTAGGAGGAATCAGAGTCTTATTTCGTAGTTCGCGGTTGGTTTGTGTTTTTTATGGATTACGCGAAATATTTTAAGTTTCCCCGCACTTAGTTTGAATGTGTAGATAGCGAAGATTTTGAACTAAACACAGAGTTAATTAAAAAAAACTCTTTGCACTCCTTTTTGAAGATTAATTGTTTAATTTAGTTTATTATGAAAATAATTTGACGTTTGTTTGTGTATTTTTTAGACGCAAAGTCGAGGAGTCTGATACAACCCCCTTTATCACGTGGCCAGATATTGGCCACGCGTCACTTACGGATATCATAAGTTAATGAATATCGGGTTTAAATATATTGATATAAAATATTAAGTTTAAAAAATAGATTGTGAATATTATTTTTTAAGCGTATGATTTTAAATATAGATAAACAAATATTTACTGAGCCTATAATAATTAATTCATTACAATAAATAATATATATGTAATTATAATTATTAAAGTAATAAATATAAATAAATAAATACATAAATAAAATATATAATGAAAATAAAAAATTAGTGAGGGGGTGCAATTTTTGTTATAGCAGTAAAATTAGGAAGTGTTATTAGAAAGGGCCTGAATTCCGATTTTGAATTCAGGCCCAAAAAGGCCAGGGGGTGTTGAATTAAGCACGCTTAGCAGAAACCAATGTGAGGGGTGTGTGAATGATACTGGGCCTGGAGTCTTGAGGCCCAAGGTGCATAAATGAAAGAAAACAAAAAAAAACGATGAGAAAAAAAAATTAATACAGGGGCCAGGTCAGCTTAGGCCCAAAATTGTTTTTCTTTCCATTCCCTTTACTTCCTTTCGCCGTCACCCTCCCCTCTTCATCCTTTTTCTCCCTTTCCCTCAACTAAACCCTAATTACCTTTCAACTATCCTCCACGACACAAAACCTCACTCCTCTCTTCACAAATCGAATTAAAAATCCGACTCCAAAACCCCTAAACTAAAATCCATGAACCTCTAAATCCTGCAACAAATATATGAGAGCCAACAATTGGAATATGAGCTAAGTTCCCCATACCTTTATCATTGTGAGATCTCTGTTATGGTGCTTCGATTCCTTGTTCTCCTTACTAATCGTATTTGTCTTCCTCTGTGTCACAGGTGTGGTGCGATGGAGAGGTTAACGAAGGTCGTTGCGGCGGTGGGATAACGACAAGGCGGAAGCGTGTTTGGAACACACTTGCGCTCTTATTGTCTTCTCAATTTCTCCCGTTCTTTTTTTCTGTAAGAATTATGTAATTTTCTCTCTTTTTCTCCCTCCATTCCTCTACTCTGATTCTTGGTTCTTATAGTGATTAGGATTTATAGATTTTAGGAAGGTTTTTAATGTGTTTGCAATCGTTTAGGAAAAAAATTAGGTTCTCTGTAATTTGTTTATGGAATTCAATTCAAATATGTTTCTTTCCAATTCTGTTAAGGACAACAATGATTTTGTACTAATGAATTTGAATTCATTTCTGTATTAGGTGATTCTCTGTTTATATATTCGTTGATTTGTGTTAATGAGTATTGAATTGGTTGTCTGTGTATTGATTATTGAGTATGCCCTGTCTTGGATCACAACACATTTTGAAATTGCGAATAAATTAAGCTTCTGCTTTTGGTTCGACACCTAACTTCCCTTTTTAATTCCTTTCTCCTAATTCAGATATGAAAGGGATGTCTGTTTTGATGAGTCATGTACTGACTTATTTGTCGTGGACTGTTTTTCTTACTGGCTTGAAAAATTAACCAGATCCTTGAACTTGTCTTCTTTGGCGACAAATAGGGTACATGTAAGCAATTTTGGAACTGGTTAATTGGTGTAGTAGTCAAGGAGGCTGCTTCATGGTTATCAAGTAATGTTGCTATTCATCATTTTTGTTTTGTCTAGTACTAATGCAGGGCTTTTCTTGCAGGTGTAATGACATGAAATTTATCATGGAGGAGGCCTAAGCTAGGAGAAGTTTAAAGGAGCAGAGGCATAAAGAAAGATTAGTGATTGAAAGCTTGGCCGTGGGGAGGTTAAAGGTGTTTTGCAACTGTTATAACAAAGAGATGTCCTAATGACGAGCTTAGGTTTAGGATGAATAGACTTTGGCACTTTCATGTAAACATTCTTTGTAATTTTCTTTGTAATGGTGACCTGAATAATGTTGTAATAATAAGATCGTGTTTTCTGAATATGTCCTGTAATTATCCATATTGGCTTAAACAAAACATTTTGAACCAACCTTCTCTTCTATATCTCTAAGTATTTTCTCTTGAGTTTGATCCCATGTAGTTCAATATGCACAGAACTTTCTTCAATTTCACATGAATGATCTAATTCCATACTACTCCTATTTACCTTCACTAATGGATATATCACCTTTTATGTTTTAACTTCGAATAAAAAATAATTTCTTGGCACCTTCTTTTGATTCACAGTCCTTGGTTTTAACTAATTGAACAGGACTCAAGTATCCTTTCTTCTTTTGTATAATATTATGATGATGCCTTAAATGGGTCCTTATCTCCATGGTTTAGCTTTGAATAATGAATGCTTCCTTGAATTAAGCCCTTAATTGTATGTCTTAACTCGTTCTGACTGAAGCGTGGAACATAGCCTTCATATGTTGAGGGATCATGTTCTAACCGAAGAGCATCACTTCCACATGTTCTGATTGAAGCATCATGTTCTGAATCGTGTTTTTAAATTCTGACCGCACTTGCGTGGAGGTTGGCCCAGAAGTTCTGAAGTACCATATTCTCTTAACACTTAGAAAAATTTCTAAATGTTTAGAAATTTGGATTTTTCAAAGTAATTTCCGACTTCTGATTTCTGATGAACTAATTTCATATCTTGGTGAAATATAATTGTTGAAACTTGATTTTTGACCCAAAAGTCAAAGTCTGACTTTTCAGCATGCTTTTGACGATTTTGCCCTTGTGAATGACTTTTTTTGGAAAATTGGTAATTCAAGGCTTGGAATTGGATGGAAGCAATCCTGAGAAATGAGAGGGAAAATTTTTGGGATACAACAGTTGCCCCTGTTCAATCTTCTTACACCTGAAGAGTTAGATTGGTAAATCTGCCATTCGTGACTTGAAGGTGCAAGATGATTGAACACTAGATTGCCCAGAAATTTGCACTCGACGATGTTGTGGTTGATTGTGTAGGGAATGGGCTTAAAAGATGCCATTTGGAGAAATGATGGATAGTTGTTGGATACGGGCTTACAGATGCCATCCAGAGTGATTGTTGACAGAAATTAGACTAAGTCTAAATTCTGACTTCAACTGGAGAAGAAATCAGAATAAATCTTTGGAGAGATTTATCTGAACCAGAGGAAAAATTTACTAGAATGAATCAGAATAAATTTTTTGAGAGATTTAAACTGAAATAGCAGAGGTCGTGGGATGAGTATCAGAATAATATCCATAAATGAATTGTATCTGACTCGTATCTAAGAGATGTAGTGAATGAGCGTCAGAATAACATCCGTATCTGGATCATATCTGGACTGTATTTGAAGAGAATCTAGATTAAGTATCAGAATGTCATCCATATCTGGATCGCATCTGAACTGCTTCTAGAAGAGAATCTCTAGTTTCCTATCATTAACTTGAAGAAATAAATCTAACCAGAGGAGGTCTTTGGTCGCCTGTCATTAACTGGAAAAAATAAATCTAACCAGAGGAGGTCTTTGGTTGCCTGTCATTAACTGGAAGAAATTAATCTAACCAGAGGAGGTCTTTGGTCGCCTGTCATTAACTGGAAGAAATAAATCTAACCAGAAGAGGTCTTTGGTCGCCTGTCATTAACTGGAAGAAATAAATCTAACCAGAGGAGGTCTTTGGTCGCCTATCATTAACTGGAAGAAATAAATCTAACCAGAGGAGGTCTTTGGTTTCCCGTTATTAACTGGAAGAAATAAAGCTAACCAGAGGAGGTCTTTGGTCGCCTGTCATTAACTGGAAGAAATAAATCTAACCAGAGGAGATCTTTGGTTGCCTGTCATTAACTGGAAGAAATAAATCTAACCAGAGGAAGTATTTGGTCGCCTGTCATTAACTGGAAGAAATAAATCTAACCAGAGGAGGTCTTTTGTCGCCTGTCATTAACTGGAAGAAATAAATCTAACCAGAGGAGGTCTTTGGTTGGCTGCCATTAACTGGAAGAAATTAATCTAACCAGAGGAGGTCTTTGGTCGCCTGTCATTAACTGGAAGAAATAAATCTAACCAGAGGAGGTCTTTGGTCGCCTGCCATTAACTGGAAGAAATAAATCTAACCAGAGGAGGTATTTGGTCGTCTGTCATTAACTAGAAGAAATAAATCTAACCAGAGGAGGTCTTTGGTTGCCTTTTATTAAATGGAAGAAATGAATATAACCAAAGGAGGTCTTTGGTCGCCTGTCATTAATTGGATGAAATAAATCTAACCAGAGGAGGTCTTTGGTCGCCTGTCATTAACTGAAAGAAATAAATCTAACCAGAGGAGGTCTTTGGTCTCCTGTCATTAACTGGAAGAAATAAATCTAACCAGAGGAAGTCTTTGGTCGCCTATCATTAACTGGAAGAAATAAGTCTAACCAGAGGAGGTCTTTGGTTTCCCGTCATTAACTGGAAGAAATAAATCTAACCAGAGGAGGTCTTTGGTCGCCTGTCATTAACTGGAAGAAATAAATCTAACCAGAGGAAGTCTTTGGTTGCCTGTCATTAACTGGAAGAAATAAATCTAACCAGAGGAGGTCTTTGGTCGCCTATCATTAACTGGAAGAAATAAATCTAACCAGAGGAGTTCTTTGGTCGCCTGTCATTATCTGGAAGAAATAAATCTAACCAGAGGAGGTCTTTGGTTTCCTGTCATTAACTGGAAGAAATAAATATAACCAGAGGAGGTCTTTGGTCGCCTGTCATTAACTAGAAGAAATAAATCTAACCATAGGAGGTCTTTGGTTGCCTTTCATCAACTGGAGGAAATAAATCTAACCAAAGGAGGTCTTTGGTCGCCTGTCATTAACTGGAAGAAATAAATCTAACCAGAGGAGGTCTTTGATTCGTTCACTTGTGACGAGTCTGTGTATGGATGCTTGATGATGAGTCAGTGTAAAACTTCATCTTGGAAAGAGAAGGAACTTGTGTAGGGTTGCTTCATGATGAGTCAGTGTAAAACATCATCTTAGAAAGAGAAGGAACCTGTGTAGGGTTGCTTCATGATGAGTCTGTGTAAAACTTCATCTTGAAAAGAGAAGGAACCTGGTAGGATTGCTTCAGCTGGTCGTGTAGATAATTGCCCTGACTTGTTATAGGTATAAATCTCTGACCCGAGAAAGAAAGATAGTTTTCCTGGCTTGTTACATGTATTAATCTTTAATCTCTTCATGTAGATAATTTTCCTGGCTTGTTACAAGTATTAATCTTCGACCTGAGAAAGAAAGATAGTATTCATGGCTTGTTACAGGTATTAAGCTTCAATCTCTTCATGTAGATAGTTTTCCTGGCTTGTTACAGGTATTAATCTACAATCACTTGTCCAAAGATAGTTTTCCTGGCTTGTTACAGGTATTAATCTGGAACTATTGAAAAATGGTTGATGGTAGCCATCTGTTGATTGACCTTTCCTGAAAAAGGTAGAACGTTAGCTGTATGCAATGTCATGATGTATTAAATGCATGATGTCATGATGTTCTCAAAAATAAATGAGATTGTGTCGTATGCACTTATCATATATGTAAATAGGATGTATAAAATGTGACATGTTTATTGAAGTGTATCTTTGTCTGAGAAAATAAATCCTTGAAAAATGCTGGGGAGTCGTTAAATCCTGGACTGCTATTGAAGAATAGGTGTGTCTTCAAACTTTGCTTAGAATGTTCCCACCGGGAATTCCTGTTTTGTTGTTTGAGGAGAACTCTGTTGGGGAATATTGAAAACTCTATGGAGAATGTTGATTCCTGCTTGGGGAAGAGTTATGGAGTCTCGGTTGTCCGTTGCTCTATTAGGGGTCGAAGTTGAACTGATATCTGGTCAGGTCCAGGTTTAACAATAACTTGTTGGGGATTATAGAGTATTCTACTGGGGAAGAGGAGTTGTGGTCCTCTGATTTGTAGTAGTCAGAGAGGCAAACTCAAGCTGGGGAATCCTGCCGTTTGTTGGGGAAATAAACCCTGTCGCTCAGCCTGTTGGAGAGGCGGAAACTTTACTAGAGAAAATCCTCGAGGATTCTTGAGGTCGACTTAGCTGGGGAAAATGGTTTCAGAGATCTAAACTATGGCTGGGAGTCATCCCATGAGAAGGATCTTGGGAAGATTTGTTACTGCCCCTAGTAGTAGGTGATTGTGGCACTACTAGGACCTATTTGATTGTAAATAAACCTCTGTCGAGATTTGCGTTCAATGCCCCAAGTGATGGAGGCCTTCCCCTGGTTATTTAACAACTCTTTGAGAGATTCTTTGAATCTTGACTTGACTGCCCCAGGTGTGCTGGATAGTGACATGTCATGCCCCCCTTGTTGATAGGAGATTTTTCATTGGAAGTGTCATCCCACTTGAAGTGATTTTGTTTGCTGAGAGGGTTTTCATTCACTGGATATTCGTTGTGTGAATTTCTCTGCTGTCAAATAAATATCCATATGCAAACAGCGATATTCAAATAATTTAAAGTTTATGTTTGTCTTGAAAAAATTTGAAAATGCGTTAAAGAAGTTTTGTAAGAAAATTCAAACTCAGGATTTAGAGTAAAGCCTTACAGGAGTCAGGATACCTTTTATAATAATATGCTTTCGAACTAACCCACGCTTCAATTAGGACTTTTGAAGGGTTGTAGCATGGCTTGGTTCACGGTTTAAGAAACAAAGGATAAAGGCTCAAAATGTATTTGTACCCACCCGCTCGTCGTAATGTTCTTCAGTGCTAAACTCAGTTAATTGTACATTTGAA